CACACCGCTCGGCTCGCTTCTCTGCCAGCCCTCCCTCCTCCTCCTGCCAGGAGTTTGGTTTGGTTGTGTTTTGTTTCTTAAAGTGGGGTGAAGGTGCCATCATGTCTCCTTTATTTTATTTTGGTTACGTGCCTCTAGCAGGAACCGAACCCACAACTCCCTGGTCCACAGACTGACACTAACTGCTGAGCCAAACCAGCCAGGGCTCATGTCTCCTTCAAACATATTTCACCTTATACCTGGGCGGCACTAGAAGTCAGAAGCCTGTAGTTTTAACTTGTACAATAACAGCCAAGGTCCTCAGGCTGCACGTAATACATGGGAGAAAAATCAGACATGTGAGCACCCTGACTGCACACTTTCACACACGTTTGCACACACACACACACACTAATACATTCGTACACATATGCACACACACAGACACAAACACTCATACACACACACAAATGTTCTCTCTCACACACGTTCATACGCACACCCGTTCATACACACACATGCACACATAGACACAAATGTTCCTACACACACACATACACACAACTACTCATACACATATACATAGACACACACATAGACACACACACAAACACATTTGTACACGTGCACACATACACATTCATACACACACAAATGTTCTCTCTCACCCACAAATGTTCACACACACACACGTTCATACACACACATGCACGCATAGACACAAATGTTCCCCACACACACACATACACAAAAGCACTGATACACATATACATACACACACACAAACATATTCGTACACGTGCACACATACACATTCATACACACACAAATGTTCTCTCTCACCCACAAATGTTCACACACACACACGTTCATACACACACATGCACACATAGACACAAATGTCCCTACACACACACATACACACAACCACTCATACACATATACACAGACACACACATAGACACACACACAAACATTCGTACACACACACTGTGTGACATTTCCCACACCATCTGGCCACATGGCCCTTATTCTCAAGAAAGTAACTCGTTTAAACAAACCTTCAAAGTAGGCGATGGGGGCGGTTCAGACATAATTTCCCTGTCAGCTCAGCTCCTTTCACAGGGAGGGGTGTGGCACGTCCTGGCTTGAACTCAGTTCTAAAGGAAGGTTTCGCTCTAATTTTTGTGGGTTTTTTTTTTGTTTTTGTTTTTTACTTAAGAGTGACAACAGTATCATACCAAGGATTTCTCTTGTTGCTGGAAGTGAAACATGTTTGAGTGCCCACAGGCGGCGCCTGGAGATGATACGGATTCCCGTGTACTTAGAAATCCGTAAGCGTGCTGTTGGAACTGGGTACTTGAAAAAAACGAAGATGCAGATTATCCATCTATCTGCCAATTGCCTGTCTATCTATTCATCCATCCATCATTTATCTACCTGTCTATCCATCATTTTTACTCATCTCCATCTATTGCTCTGTCATCCCGAAACTCTAAGTGGGAAGATGTGTTGTTCAGCAGACTGAGCCGATGTCACATGTCCGCGGAGAGAGAGTGGTGTCACCACCCCCCGGGCAGGCGACACAGGCAGCTGGTCTGTTGGTGACGGACAGTGAGACCTCACAGCTCAGCCACCCACCAGCCAGCTTGAATTCCTCTTTAATCTGTAATCACTCCAGGGTTTGTTTTTCTTTGTGGAAATAATCGATCATTCCAATTCTCAATAAATGCTCACCAAAAACATTCTCTCGGCCAGTGGTTCTCAGCCTTCCCAATGCCGCGACCCTTTAACACAGCTCCTCATGCTGTCTGTGGGCGCATCTGCGTGTGGGCGGACCCGCCTGGAGACCACAGAGGAGCGGGGTCTCGGAAATGTGTGTTTTCCCGTGGTCTTAGGCGACCCCTGTGAAAGTGTCGTTCGACCCACACAGTGGTCGCGACCCACAGGTTGAGAACCGCCGCTCTAGGAAAACCCACATTTAGAAATAGTTCGTTCACCTAGAAAGACTCTTTAAACCACGGTGGATAAGGCCAAGCAGACAGTGAGCAGAAATGTCTGTAGAACTCAAAGCTGAGTGAGGGGCCTTCAGGGCTGAGCACTAAGGAAGTGAAAATGTGGTTTTCTCTGTTCTCGACTGTGTCTCAAATGCTGCTGCTTTAACTGTTTAACTTACATGTCACCACTTGGATAGTTAGTATCCAGACACGATATATCTCTGTCTTACACAAAATCAATTTTCTGTTATTTCTTCCAGTTTCTATGCTAACAATGGTCAGAGGTGCACAATATCATTGATCTAAGGTGTTCTCAATTTATTCGCCACTGGAAAGGTACTAATAAAATTTTTTTTGGAATATTCTTTTTGGAGTACTTTCCTAGTATTTTATATATAACATCAGTGGCTCTGTTTCCCAGCCCACACTCAAACGAAGAGGTTTTTACGAGTGGGATTTTAAAAGATTTTTCGTTTCCATTTAAATGGAAAGAAATACAATGGAATACAAAAACCAAAGTGTACTTAAAATGCTATTACTGCTCTAAAAATAGTTGTGTGGCTATTTTTCCCGAGAGACAGAGAAGCTGGGCTGTGTACAATATTGTATCACGCTGTTGTCTTTTCTATGTTACAAATGTTCCATGTTCACCTTTTCCGTAGCAACATTTTATTCTTTCAAACATATCTGTAATAATGTAGTCAATCATGGTTCTGTTTGTGGACACTTTTACGGCCTCCAAACACCAGCTCTGGCCCTATGTTGCAATATTTGGAACAGCAGATATATATTATATTGTCAGAATTGAGATCAAGTAGTCAGAGTGCTGATATTATAGCGGTGGTTGACCTCACAACGGAGCCCGAGTCCTAAGAGTACCTCAGGGAACTTGGTGACGGAAAAGCGTGTGCGGTAGGGACGGGGCCCTGCTGGAGAGGTGCCGGCCGTCGTGACTCGTGCATGACAGGCTGTGTGACTAACCCAGGATCGCCACGTGACAGTTAGAATTCTGTAGTCTTTCTTCACGTGTGACCCCGCCTGGGAACTTTACATCAGCTCCCCAGTTCGAGGGCCACGCTGCCCCCACAACGCTGGCTCTCCCGCACCCGTTGTCCATCGTACCGTGTGGTATAGTTTCCTCATAGCACTTATGACACTCTTGAATTTTCTTATTTCTTTGTTTCATTTGTTTACTGAGTATTTTTCTTCCCTGAAATAGACTGTTATCCCCAGGTCAGGGGACACTGTCTTATTAATGTCTGCCTCTCTGGCACCTAGAATAGAGTGTTGCCCATGGTCGATGTTAAAATTGTATTAAAGGGATAATGAAAATGGAAATATAGGTCAATAGAAAGAACTGAAGATTGGAGCCTAGACTAGAGAACAGAGGTATAATAGTTGTTTTTAATAAACTCTATTATGTCATTTATTTCATGACGCTCCACGGGTTAAAGCAAAGCCACAGGAACAGACATTGTGAACGGGGGTGACTACGCAGCGGGCCTTCCCAGAGAGCGGGTGTGACCCACAGGGACACATTGTATCTGCATTGAGGTGTTGACACTTTTCACGTGCAAAAACAAGTAGTTCGGTGTTTTTCTCAAAATCATTTTTATAGAATTTGGTTGCCCTGGAGACGTGGTGAACGGAGCTTCCTGGACAGGACACTTGGAAAACTCTACCTTTTCTATTCTCTTACGAAGGCAAAATAAGTTTTCGCCTCTTAAATTTTAGTGAAGATACATGCTTAATCGGGTGTGGTCCAGACTTCATCGGATGGTGTCCACCCTGATTCGAGGACTTCTCCCACGTGCTCCACCGCCCCGCGGGAGGGTGACGGAAGCGTGGGGACTGCCCGTGTCATCCCCTGGGCGACAGTAGTTGTGATTGCAGAAGCGAGCTTTGCACTCAGCAGGAGAGGACACGCGTGTTTATGTCCCCCGGGCTTTGGTCTTTCGTTAACTTCATCCGCGGCATCGTCTCCCAGGTGGCTGTGTCTCGCTCCCCCTTTTGTGCACAACCACCTCAGGGGTGTCCCTGGAAGACACAGGAGAGCTTCCCCCTGGAGCACCCGCTCAGCTCCCGGCAGACGCCCCAGCCTGCTCGGAGGCCGTTGGGGTGTTCGGGCTGGAGGCGGCCTCTCACTGTACCCAGACACCTGTTACACTTGCTGCTGCAGCAACAACACACTTGTCACCTAGAGCATCGGGGTCCACGGGAGCCCGGCGCCGTGATCATCGGGCTGGAGGCTGGAGTCCGTCCTCCGGCGAAGGATGCTCTCCTGTGACGGGTCCTGAGACACGGTGTCCCTGGCCCTCCTCCGGACAGAACGAACGTTTGTGATAACAAGATAGAGTCTCTACTGAGAATTCCACTTGATTGTCTTCTTTATAGCGAGCAAGTGTTTTGAATTATGTTGTGATAAGGACACTTACTGTGAGATTTATCTTCTTAATTTTTAAGTGCGTTATTGTTGACCACAGGTGTGTACACCAGACCTCTGGCAGTTACTCGTCTTATACTTCACGCCTGTCTTAGTAACTCCTCGCCCTTCCTTCTCCAGCCCGGCACCCCCACCCCCGGCTGGTTCCAGGCAGCTGCACCCTCACAGACAGCTGGGCTGCTCTCCTTTCTCCTACTGGGATGTTCCACAACCTGGCCTCGTCCGGTCCTGGTGTCTGTGAGACGTTTGTTCACGTGGAATGACGCCTGACTTTGTTTGGTCTTTGGGGTGCACAGTCCACTCCCCTCTTCTCCCTGCGCCACACACACAGCCTCCTGGTTTCTCCGTGCTTCAGCGGTGTTGTGCTAAGGGTCCCGTGTTCAGCTGCAACACTCACAGACCAGACCTTTGAACCCAGGTCTCGGGACTGGTCCTGGGCCACAGGACAGGGTGTGCGTGAATGACCCCCACTGGACAGCTTCAGGTTTCATGTGGCTCAGCGGTGTGGTCGTGGCACCACGGTGATGCTTTTTAAGTCTTGCATGAGTAACCGGGCTGTTTTCTGCTTTATCGTTGCGTAGGGTTGGCGCAAGTGTGCAGTTCTCCTGTGAGGACAACTACGTGCTCCAGGGCTCCAAGAGCATCACCTGCCAGAGGGTCACAGAGACACTGGCTGCCTGGAGCGACCACCGGCCCCTCTGCCGAGGTGAGGACCGCGGGGCGGCTGCCGCCCAGATGCCGCCTGTGTTCAGGTTCCCCGGTGTTTCTGCGTCCAGTGGGGTTTGTGCTGAGACAGACCAGAGTTCTATGCCTTCACAGTGAAGTGGGTAACAGCGAAATATTTCCTTGAAATGTGTTAGGGGGTACATACGTTCAAGGGTATTTGTGGTGTTAACATTCAGTAAGATATGAGCAGATCAAGTTATTCAGACTCACACACGTATACTCAGTGCAGTGGGCCTCACCTAGCTGTCTGCATTCATACGCACATGTGCATACCTGTGGAAATGTCACAGCACCAGGTCCCTGCTCAGGCGGCCCCGTGGTCGAGCAATCGTGGGCTGTGATGTCAGCGGCAATGGGCTTGTACCTTGGGCGCAAGCTGCTATGTCGCTGTCAAGTCACCTTGAAGGAATCTCTGATGTAGAGGAGAGTGGGAGGGAGAGAGAGACATGGGTATGAGAGACACACCGATCGGTTGCCTCCCACACAACCCCAACCAGGGCCAGGGATCAATCCTGCCACCCAGTTCCGTGCCCTGGACTGGGAATCGAACCCGAGACCTCCATCTGCAGGCCGACACTCTAACCGCTGACCCCAACCAGCCAGGCCTGGAGGTGATTCTGAAGTGTCTCCGTGAAGATGAATGTATCAGACACGAGCACCTTCCCGAGAGGCCGCTGTGTCGGGGCATCCATGACAAACGCCTTCATGCTGTAAAGACATACATGTTGCATTTGAAGTAGGAAAACATTAGACAAACTCTATATATGAATCCTGAAGACTTCCTTACTAGAATAATTGGAGATAAACCCTGTAGAATTAGGTCATAAACACTCGCTGACAGAAACCCAAACCCAGGAGCAGTCTGGGTGCAATGGAGACGGATTCCTCTGGGATGAGGCTCCGTCAGGCAGCACGGGGCAGGGGATCCGCCTTGTGTCCTCACGACGCACCCTGTGGGCCCTGTGGCTGGCCCTCGGCTCCCGGTCAGGGGCGTCCACACCCCTCTGGGAGGCGGGGAGGTCAGAGGGGAGGCCAGCAGGGGTGTCCAGGGGTGTCCAGGCGGCTCAGTGGCAGGGGCCAAACCAAGGCAGATGATGGGTGGGGGGAGCCTCAGCAGCGGGCTGTCTACCGTGGGAGGTTCAGAGAAGCAAGCGGCCCTGTTTTTGTGGAAGGAGAGGAGAACCTGAAATGGAATTTCTACCCACGGCTGTGTGCTAAGGACACAAGGAGAAGACACTAGAACACGTCCTGGCGGCCGGTCCTATGACACAGGAGGCCTTTAGGAGCAGAGGAATCAAGGACGGGAGCCCTAGATGATCACTCAGGTTCGGGCACCAGGATGAGGACGGGGTTCTGTATGAGGACGGGGTTCAGTGTGAGGGGAGGGTTCTGTGTGAGGACAGGGTTCTGTGTGAGGGGAGGGTTCTGTGTGAGGGGAGGGTTCTGTGTGAGGACAGGGTTCTGTGTGAGGGGAGGATTCTGTGTGAGGACAGGGTTCTGTGTGATGAGAGGGTTCTGTGTGAGGATAAGATTCTGTGTGAGGAAATGGTTCTTGGTGAGGGGAGGATTCTGTGTGAGGACAGGGTTCTGTGTGAGGATAAGATTCTGTGTGAGGAGAGGGTTCTGTGTGAGGATAAGATTCTGTGTGAGGAAATGGTTCTTGGTGAGGGGAGGATTCTGTGTGAGGACAGGAGTCTGTGTGAGGACAGGAGTCTGTGTGAGGACAGGGTTCTTGTGAGGACAGGGTTCTGTGTGAGGAAAGGATTCTGTGTGAGGGAAGGTTTCTGTGTGAGGGGAGGGTTCTGTGTGAGGGGAGGGTTCTGTGTGAGGACAGGGTTCTGTGTGAGGACAGGGTTCTGTGTGAGGAGAGGATTCTTTGTGAGGGAAGGATTCTTTTTGAGGGGAGGGTTCTGTGTGAGGACAGGATACTGTGTGAGGACAGGATTCTGTGTGAGGAGAGGATTCTGTGTGAGGAGAGGATTCTGTGTGAGGGGAGGGTTCTCTGTGAGGACAGGGTTCTGTGTGAGGAGAGGGTTCTGTGTGAGGAGAGGATTCTGTGTGAGGAGAGGATTCTGTGTGAAGAGAGGATTCTGTGTGAGGGGAGGGTTCTGTGTGAGGACAGGGTTTTGTGTGAGGACAGGTTCTGTGTGAGGAGAGGATTCTGTGTGAGGAGAGGATTCTGTGTGAGGAGAGGATTCTGTGTGAGGGGAGGGTTCTCTGTGAGGACAGGATTCTGTGTGAGGAGAGGATTCTGTGTGAGGAGAGGATTCTGTGTGAGGAGAGGATTCTGTGTGAGGGGAGGGTTCTCTGTGAGGACAGGGTTTTGTGTGAGGACAGGATTCTGTGTGAGGAGAGGATTCTGTGTGAGGGGAGGATTCTGTGTGAGGGGAGGGTTCTCTGTGAGGACAGGGTTTTGTGTGAGGACAGGATTCTGTGTGAGGAGAGGATTCTGTGTGAGGAGAGGATTCTGTGTGAGGGGAGGGTTCTCTGTGAGGACAGGGTTTTGTGTGAGGACAGGATTCTGTGTGAGGAGAGGATTCTGTGTGAGGAGAGGATTCTGTGTGAGGACAGGTTCTGTGTGAGGAGAGGATTCTGTGTGAGGATAAGATTCTGTGTGAGGAAATGGTTCTTGGTGAGGGGAGGATTCTGTGTGAGGACAGGGTTCTGTGTGAGGATAAGATTCTGTGTGAGGAGAGGGTTCTGTGTGATGAGAGGGTTCTGTGTGAGGATAAGATTCTGTGTGAGGAAATGGTTCTTGGTGAGGGGAGGATTCTGTGTGAGGACAGGTTTCTGTGTGAGGACAGGATTCTGTGTGAGGAGAGGAGTCTGTGTGAGGGAAGGTTTCTGTGTGAGGGGAGGGTTCTGTGTGAGGGGAGGGTTCTGTGTGAGGACAGGATTCTGTGTGAGGGGAGGGTTCTGTGTGAGGACAGGGTTCTGTGTGAGGACAGGGTTCTGTGTGAGGAGAGGATTCTTTGTGAGGGAAGGATTCTTTTTGAGGGGAGGGTTCTGTGTGAGGACAAGATACTGTGTGAGGACAGGATTCTGTGTGAGGAGAGGATTCTGTGTGAGGAGAGGATTCTGTGTGAGGGGAGGGTTCTGTGTGAGGACAGGGTTCTGTGTGAGGAGAGGATTCTGTGTGAGGAGAGGGTTCTGTGTGAGGAGAGGATTCTGTGTGAGGAGAGGATTCTGTGTGAGGGGAGGGTTCTGTGTGAGGACAGGGTTTTGTGTGAGGACAGGTTCTGTGTGAGGAGAGGATTCTGTGTGAGGAGAGGATTCTGTGTGAGGAGAGGATTCTGTGTGAGGTGAGGGTTCTGTGTGAGGACAGGATACTGTGTGAGGGGAGGGTTCTGTGTGAGGAGAGGATTCTGTGTGAGGAGAGGGTTCTGTGTGAGGAGAGGATTCTGTGTGAGGGCAGGATTCTGTGTGAGGTGAGGGTTCTGTGTGAGGTGAGGGTTCTGTGTGAGAAGAGGATTCTGTGTGAGGAGAGGATTCTGTGTGAGGTGAGGGTTCTGTGTGAGAAGAGGATTCTGTGTGAGGAGAGGATTCTGTGTGAGGTGAGGGTTCTGTGTGAGGTGAGGGTTCTGTGTGAGGAGAGGATTCTGTGTGAGGAGAGGATTCTGTGTGAGGGGAGGGTTCTGTGTGAGGACAGGGTTTTGTGTGAGGACAGGTTCTGTGTGAGGAGAGGATTCTGTGTGAGGAGAGGATTCTGTGTGAGGAGAGGATTCTGTGTGAGGTGAGGGTTCTGTGTGAGGACAGGATACTGTGTGAGGGGAGGGTTCTGTGTGAGGTGAGGATTCTGTGTGAGGAGAGGATTCTGTGTGAGGGCAGGATTCTGTGTGAAGATGAATTCTGAGGGAACCAAGTGAGTGAAAACAAATGTGGAGCTGGGCGTGCATAATAGTCCCCTGTTCCCGAAGGCCAGAGGCTTGTCTGTGAGCATTGGATGACCTGAGAGACTTGTCTACCTCTGAGCTTGGTCCCTTTTTCTGCCCTGTGCTCCCCCCTGGGCCCTTGGCTCCCACAGCGGGGCTTCCCTCCTTTCAGAGCTGGGGAACAGCCCGCCCTCTGCGCTGCAGGGTAAGGTCCTGTGTGACACCGTGATCAGCAGGCAACGGTACCTGCTCAGTTCCTTCCCCAGAGACTGTCAAACGCGTTGCTGCACCTGGGCCTGACCTCTGAGAGGAGTCACCTCCAGAAACATCTAGAAGCCAGGTTACAAAAGAAATGGCTGCAGTGAGTTTTAATAGCATGTTTTATTCCACCTAATATTCCAAACGTGTGATCATTTCAGCACAGAGTCACTGTCGATTCGAAGGAGCTGTTTCCCGCCTCTGTCACTGTGGGCTGGGAATGCAGTGTGCGTTCTCCTTGAGTCTCCACAGACTGGCCACGTGCCCGGGGTCCGCCGGGGCCTCTCAGCTGTTTTGGCTCCTGGCTGTGGTCCTAACTGTGCAAAGCCATCAACAGGCCCGTGGGTGTGGCAGGAGGAAATGACTCAGGGCGCAGGACCTGCTCCCTGGGCGCGCTCTCTCAGCACCGAAGTCCGTCAGTCAAAATCCGTGAGAATCCGGGTTGGCAGCGTTAGGACCCTGAACCTGCTGTCGTGAGCAGACTTGGAATAGTCTCCATTGGCTGTAACGACTGATTCATGCATTAGGGTGCAGCTGGAGAATCAAGTGAAGCTTTGACCACGATTTCCGTGAGGTCATAGCTGCGGAGGCCGAGCTAACATGAAACGTGACAGTGTATCAGACGGGAGCCGTTCCCTCCGCGAGCAGTGGGTTCACGGGCAGGCGCAGAGGCCGAGCTAACATGAAACGTGACGGTGTATCAGACGGGAGCCGTTCCCTCCATGAGCAGTGGGTTCACGGGCAGGCGCGGTCTCCAAGTCCCTGCTGCGCTGGGTGATCTTGCCGTAGTAAACAGTGTGCAGGAAGAGAACGCGGTTTGGGTTTTCGGGGTTCGTTCCGAGCCTGTAGA